GCATTAAGTAGTTATAACATTATAATGTTGACAAATAATTTCAATCGATTATTGTTTTTTATGCATTTGACTTTGACATTTTCGTAACGTTTTCGTCAGTTAAATATAATATGAGTCATCGTCACTGGGTATATTGGCGCATATATCAGCATACCCACACACTACACAAACAAATCACATCAATTACTGACGGTTTTTTACTCTCAAAACGTTTTTAAATGAATAATTTACGACTTCCTTCCTTCCTTCCGGATTCTTAGAACAGATCCGCGTCACTCCCTAAATCGTATCCTACACTTAGCATTAGCGTCAGTTATTTTCTATACACGCGGCGGCGAAAAAAAAACACGAACACGGTAAATTGAACACCGTACAATAATCGCATGAATGAACGGCGTCACGTGGGAATGAATCATACTACAGTAATAATAATATCTTATATACTTAAGTGTACATCGTGGATGAATCATACTAGAATACACAATCTATACCGCCGCCGTCACGTCATGAGACCAAAAAATAATAATCGATTGAAATAATTTTTCAACATAGGCACATTTTCTAACTTACCTATATATATAGTTATATCTATTCTTAATATCGCAGACAATATATATAACACTCACATTGAAAAACAATTTAACACAACTACACAAGTATTAAACAATTAAGCTCCTTAAATGTGTATGGTTTTAAAAAACTGCAGTAACAGCGTTATAAATTGAAATACCTATCGTAAAGGACTTATCGGCATAACGTGTTGAATTATAATCACCTAACAAAAAAACAATTAAATTAAGTAGGTAGGTCGTAGGTACCCATAGGTCCTAGGTTGAAATTAGGAAAAAAATATTATTAACTATGCTTTTACCATTATCATAAATTTATAACTATTATTAAAAAATTATGATATGTGGCTTGGTGTAACGCGGTGTCTACACTCATAGTTGCATACGCGCTCTGTGTTTACGCACCAGCCGGCGTTGCTAGCTTCCGGATGGGTGACCAGATTTATGGCATCAATATCCTTGCCACACATACAAATAAGGGTTCCAAACCAACCATACCCTCCTACAAATATCTTTTGGCTATAGTTGCACCGGGCTTTAATAAAAAAAAAAACCATATTAAATTAAAATTTTGTTCGATCATTCAAAACCGCACACATTTTATTGCCAATTAAAAATTAAATATTATTATTAGTCATAAATAAATTGTTGTACCTAATCAATAATTGAGATAATATTAACTGACATGAACTTTATCGATACTTATCACTGTATGACGACGGCCTTTTTTTTGAAAGTTTAGGTACGGTTATGACGTCCAAAGTTTATTAGATAATTACTAATTAGTAATATTGGTTAACTATTTACCTTGATGAAGACCACCGGATTTATCAACACCATCCATTTTTTAGGAATCGATGGAAATTTCAGGGGATTATCAATATATTATGTACCATATAATTTAGGTACTCGTTAATAAAATTAATACCTGCACATTACTACGTTTATAATATCAATTAAAACGTATAAATAATATAATATAGGTGTACTTATGATTAAAAACATTAATTTAACTCATCTCACTTGCATCAAATCTTTGGTCATGTCTCACTCATCACCACAAGGTATAATATCATATTGGTTATTGGCGAATCGAAGAAGACAATTGGCCAACTGAGAGATGAAAAATATTATGATGCTGCATATAATGCGTTTTTTAAAATTATTAAAATTATTAATTATTATTGTTATATATATAATATTATTATAAACATTATATAACAGATTCGTTCGGCTTATATTGAACAAATAATAATTAATACACTATACAATATGAATATTATTTTTAATAAAGGAATATTATAAATATATTATACGTATACTTACATAGTTACATAGTAGGTACCTACATAATACGAAAAATATGTTTTAGCGGTTAAGAACAGTGGGAGGGTCTAGGTCCTGGAGAATTGATATAATAATCAAATGGAAAAAAGATATTCATTTTTTTTTACACTAATTTACAGTATAGAAAAGCGGGTAAGTATATGTCGCTGTCATTTTAAATTTTATAAATACTGTCAACATTTGAACTTTAAAATGCTTAAAAAAATCGGATTTACGCTCAACATTTTTTTTAATTTGCACTAACAGCTACTTACAAGGAACCTTGTATTACATTTACAAGTTTCCTGATCGAGCGAAAAATTGTATATCGATATTAGTTTAAAAAAACAAATAATAATCAACAAATTCATAAGCAAAAAAAATAAAATTCATATAAATAGTTCAACACAGGTCAAAATATTTTGAAAATTGTATGGTGTGTAGAAAATGCTAACACAAACATGAAACATTCAGTGAAAATTCAGTGAAAATTTCATGTTTCTACGATAATTTTTCTTAGAGTTAGGATAAAAAGTAAAAACCAAAATCGATTTTTTCGAAAACTGGTCTTGAGTAAAAATTCCAGTTTTTCCTTAGTCGTCTGTTTGTTTTTCCTATTGCTTTTGAAAACTATTAGGAATCTAAAATTGTGACCTCCCAAATGTACCAACTAGATTCACTTTCCTACCAGAAAAGTTGCTGATGAAGAAATTTGAAGCACTTTTACTAACCGAAACCGTGATGACAGACACAAAAATATTAATAATTATAAAAACACATCTACACATCATTGTAAAATCAAGACATTCATCGCTCCGCTCAGAATCTAAAATCTAAAGTGTGATTAGTACGTACTACGGTTAGTATAATATGCTAATATTTGGTAAAGAAATATGAAATATGTTCAGACCATTTCAATCACTGATACCCTAAATGTAGGAATAGGTACCCGCCATGCATTACAATATTACAAGTTTAGTCTACAATTTTCTCAACACTTAAACGCACCGCCGTCTATTCACCCGAGAACATGACATGACGACAACGTGATAATATACTGCGTACGAATGTATGATTCATCCACGATGTACACATTAGATATTATATATAATACTATAATATATACATATATAAATATTAATATTGTTGTTGTTGTGTGATTCATTCACTCGCAGCGCCGTTCATTCATGCGATTTGTATGGTGTACCTACCTATACAATCGTGTTCGACGTTCGTGTTTTTTTTATTGTCGTCAGCCGCCGCATAGTAAATAACTGACGCAGACGCACAATTCACGATATCATATCGTCGATCCGATCCGCGGTGAGTGACGCGAATCCGTTCTAGGAATCCGGAAGGAAGGAAGTCGTAAATTATTCATTTAAAAACGTTTCAGAGAGGAAAAAAACAACATTAATTGATTTTATGATATAATGATAATATTAAGTATGTTTGATGTTTGTATTGTGTGTCTAAAACTGTTCACCAATGTATGGAGCGATTCAGCGATAAATGATGATGATTCATTTTGTATTTAACTGACAAAAAATGTTACATGCATACATTGACGATTATCAAATGCCTAGATTATTGATAAAATTATACATTTTTACTACTTACCTACCTATAAAAATATCGTACAGTCTTACGATCAACACGTCTTTTTTCTTACACATTATTTTCAATATTAGGAAAATCGTAACTGGAAAATAGTCATGAATTGATTAAAATTGATAATTTTTTTACTGGTTTTTTTCTGTTTACATTATTTTCGGATGTTACTTTTCATTTTTTGCTAATTAAGGTAATTCAGCTGTGTTAAGCCGGGTTCCCACGACTTTGTGTATTTGACCAATATTTGCTATTTTTTTATATTCGCCATATGTAGTAAGAACGGAGTAATCACTGGGTTATTCATTGTTATCATTCTATCAATCATCAATCATATAATATATCAGCTATAATAATAATGTTTTTCCTTTTTCAATGAATTTGGCAGTCACGTTAAGAATAATACGAGCTATAATTTAACAATATATAATTTATATAGTATACGCGATAAGTAGTTTATATATGCTCCGGTGATTTTCAACTTCAGTATCTTTTCTTCTGGGAAAGTATACAGTATACCTAGTTGATACTTTAGAAAAGGTAAAAATTGAAAATTCCGAGAAATTCTTTAAAGCAGGGGAAAACAAAAAAAAATAAGAAAAAACTGAGATTTTTAAGCAAAACCATTTATTTTACAAAATCGATTTAATTTTTTTTCGTTGTAACTGAAAAACGTCCAACCGTAAATACTTGAAATTTCGATTAGATGAGTTAGGTACCATTCTCTATACACCATTTATTTCCCAATTATTTTTGAGTTATTTAAAAGCATAGACAAATTTAGATTAGTGTTGGTTTTTTCTAACCATCAATAAATTTTTATTTTTACTTTGTCCCATAAAAATATTCGAAAATGTAAAGTTAAATAAAAAAAAAAAAGGTTCCTCACATAAGTGGTTGTTATTCGAAATTAAAAAGTTGAGAGCAAATCGGCAATAATTTTTAGGAGCGTCTGAAGTTTGAATTTTGACAATGTTTGTCTAAATCACGAAAATTTACAAATTATTTCGAGTTAAAAATTCATAAAAAATTTTCTATTTATGAGGTCTGAGATTTGGCTACAACCTACTATACAGTACAGCTGTATATACGATACACCTTTATTTTTAGTTATAGGTACCTAATTATTAAGGCTTCTTAGGAATCTATTACTTTGGACCGAGATGACCAACTATAGGTATTCATTTCCTTACAGAAAAGATATTAAAATTGAAAATCTTATCTGCAATTTTTTTAACTCAAAAAAGCGATATCCACAAATAAAAAACGCTCATTGTAAAATGAATACTTTGGTACATCGCTCAGAATCTAAAAATTATAAGAAACAAAAACCTATCTTTTTTCAATAACCATTCCTGGACGTTTTTTACTATATTATATTATATTATATTATATTGTCGTTGCCCTTTGAGTTTAATATTTTAAAGTATTCAAGAATTCAGTTGAAATGGAATGGATTCGTCAAAATAGGAAAATAAATTGTCATTGCAGGTATTTTTCTTTGTTAAGTAACTGTATTTATTTTTGGCAAATTAATACCAATTTTGTCAATCAAACTGCGTCAGTTAGGTTTGACAGACAATATAACATTATATAATAACACATATTATGTAGCGAAAGTTGGTATTTACACACAAATATATTATTATAGTAACGGTTGTAGTTAATTGATATTGTTTTTAATTTAAATTGTAAAAATAAATAAATTTAATTTAGTAAATATAAATTATACTATATTTACAGACGCTATTAACCGATTCCGCTTAACTGTTAAGACTGCGCCGACGTCGTAGATATATTAAAATTAATTTTGCGAAACAATAAAATAATTAGATGTAAATTAAAAATTACTCGTATACGACCGAGACCCTCGTCGTAACTGTATTATATTTATTTATACAGAAGTGAAGTATTTCAAATATTATAAAAAAAGAGATTAATCCTACAATAAATATTATAATATAATATATATATATATATAATCGTTATTAAATACACATAGATAAGCGAAACAAATTGTAATAATAATAATAAAACTAATAAAGTAAACAAATGGGCTGATGACGAAAAAATGGGTATTTGTACAAGAGCTTGTTTGTTTGTGGCTGGGCGTCGAGCGGATAGGGGTGACAAAAAGGGTCGGGCTAGAACCGTGTTAGAAAAGACGATATAATTGAGGATCAATCCGCATAAGGCAATTATGATCGTGCGCCTCGACGTGACGTTTGGCCGAGAGGGTCGGAAACGTGGCAGGCAGCAGTGAGCGAGTCGGAGGCGGTGTTACATCGTTTTTCTGTGTATCACCCTCGAGCCTTCTTCGAAAAATTCTCGTTTCGACACCCACATCCGGCGGAATGTGCCCAATGACGCCAGAATAGAACCTCCGATCCATGTCGTATACAGACGTTCTTGTGGCGCCAAAATCTAAAAAAGAAAAAAACATTTACATTTTTTTAAAACACAATCTGGTCGTCGGTTTGTGCGAGCAACATACTCCCACAAAAGCCTGAAAATATACAGAGAACAACGCGAATACGGGAGCGATTTTTTCTGTTAATCCGAGCATTTTAAAGGCAGTTAGGTGCACCGAGTACATTTTTATGCGAATAGTATATTACGATACTCTTATATACGATACATACGCAAAAGAATAAATACAAAAATAAACTTATAAACGGCGACCGTCATCGTCGGGTTCGACGACATTGACATAATATCTCGCACTTCAACAGTAAGACTGTTGACCGACTCGATAACATACACGAGTATACGACACGCGTGAATACTCGGGCCTTGAACTATATACACAATAATAATATTAGGCTTGTTTCGTAAATTATTACGAGTTACATATTATATTTTTACGGACGCATAATAATTTCCTAAAACTGTTAATTATAAACAAGATTTTATTTTTTCGTATAAAATACACAGTTCTCTTCTATCAGCGGTCTTCTATCATTAATCGTTTCAAAATACAACCACCTGATTACATAATACATTCGGTTATAGTAATTATGTTTGAAATAAAATGTACAACAATACAGATATGGTTATATTGATGTATCATTGTATTATATTAATGTTCCAAATATAAAAATGTGTGGAATTGAGAATTGTGACTAAAACATTTTGGGAAATACGAAAAACTTATCATGTTAAACTACACAACGCACAAAGTAAACTAGTCTAAAAATCAATAATTTATGTCATTTGACAATGCTTATAATTATATTGAATGTGGAAACTTGTATTTCTTTGAAACTAGTCTTAAAATATGAGCTACAATATTAAAATTGAATTTGAAAATTATAATGAAAACAAATATTATCTATCAAATTAATAAATAGTATTCAAGAGGAAAGTGAGTATTTGGTTAAAATAGAACTAAAACTAAATTGTGTCACATTAGTTAACAAAACATAAAGTCTTAAATTTTTTAAACATGATAAATATTGGAAATTCCTTGTTGTAAAGAAGGAGACAAGTGTACCTCACTGTTGAATGGGTCACTGTAATGAATGTGTGTTCAATTATAAACCATTGAATACAAAATATAATTCTAAACGAAGATTGTCAGTTAGCATATGCTTTTAAAAATATTTAATTATACGTTTATACTGCAATTAATACTTTATGTTTCTTTTAGTAATACAATAGGTTTAAAATGAAATAAATTGTGTATATCAGGTATTTATTGTTAGTGTATAACTGAATAAGTCAATACCAACATACTTTAGAACCGTGGAGGTTTATAGTATAAAGAGCTTAAAATTAATAAAAATATTTTGAAAATTTAGTTATTTATGTTAAAATGATGATATATCATGATATAGATGCTAAAAGCTAAACAAATTTTAGCTGAAATAATTGTAATATTGCACAATTAATTAGTATATGCAAGTAATCCATAATATTTTAACGAATATGTTTATTGTTCATCTTATGCTTAATATTTAACTAAATTGATTTTCAACTTCAAATTGTTATTATTTTATTATGTATGTTAAAAATAATTAAATATTAAATTTAGTTTTTTTTTTTGATTTTACTCACAATATTGTAGAATCAACTACTTTATATTTCAACAATCACTCACAACTAACCCCAACTTCTACATGTGCAATAAAACAAATAAAAGTTATGCATATTACACAATAAACATACAACAAACAGAATAATAGGTAGATTATTTTATGAATATAATTGTATTTCCTCTTCATGGTCTTGCACCATTGACTACAAATTAGATGACAGTGCCTCAATAAAATCCACAACTAACAACCATAATATTACGCTATTCATAAATAATGTCACTATGTCGCTGTTTTGAGTATAAATAATTAATTAACTATCAATGCACTCAACAAATACAATTAAAAATAAATAATAATTTATAATTTATAATATTCATTTAAAATTCTTAAGCATTTTTGAATATTTACCTTTAATTTCATATTTTTAGGTGCTAGTTTCTTAATTTCTGATAATAGTCTATCACCGAATCCCTGCAAAATAATACAATTCATAAACAAACATTTAATTTGTATATATTTTTTTTTTACTTACAGATAATAGAGTTGATCCTCCAGCTAGTACAATACTTTGATATAATTTTTTTCGTACGTCTAAATCAGATTTTTGTATTGAATATACTAATGCTTCATGTAAGCCTTCACATTCTTCACCAATTAAGTCGGGATGGAATAACACTTCTGGAGCACGGAAACGAGCCGGGCCAATCTTAAAAGACAAACATTTTTTTTTTTTCTTTATTTGTAATACACAATCTGTACACAATCGGCACAATAAGAGTATGAGCTGAGACAATAAAAAACATGAAATTATGAGCTAAGAAGCCACCCACCGATGACACTTATGTTTTTTAAATTATTTGTTTTAACTTAGTTATTATTATTATTATTTTTTTTTTTTGTTAGGGATTAAGTAGGTCTCTACACCATTTACGCTTAAAAGACAAACATAAAAGTAAATTAAGTTATATTAAAGTTTTTTAAAAAATGATTATTAGGTTAACCTATATTAGTTAAGAGATGTTAAAATTATCTTCTTTTTTTTAAATGTAAATTTTAAGTTTTGAAATGTATTTTTGTTAAAGAAAGAAAAGCATTTAAACACATGGATAAATTAATTTAAATATAAACTTACATCAACTTTGTTTCCATCAGGTAGCATATATTGATATATATTACTATCAGATGATTCTTCTTTAACTGGACTTAAAGCTACATAACAAGCTTTTTCTTTAATTGCTCTAACTACTTCAAATTCTGCAGACGTAGAAAAATTTAAACCTTCTTTTCTTAGTAATAACCTTAATATAAAATTAAAATGTGATAATTGTTTTTAACATTTCAATAGTATAATTATAATTACTTAAGATAACGTGATATATCTCGGCCAGCTAAATCTAACCGTATAATACCATGTTTCATAGCAAAACCTTCATAAATTGGAACAGTGTGAGTAATTCCATCACCAGAATCTAAAACAACTCCAGTAGTGCGACCAGTAGCGTATCTATGTAAATACAAAAAAAAATAATAATATTAACATTAAGTAGTTTTGAAAGGATTTGTTGTTATATACAAACTAAGAACTGCCTGAATAGACACATAAAATGCAGGAACGTTGAAAGTTTCAAAAAATATTTCTGCAGCTTTTTCACGATTTCGTCGTGGGTTTAGAGGGGCTTCAGTTAACAGTACAGGATGTTCTTCAGAAAATGTTTGAAGTTGATCACTACCGTATATATATTGCCATATTCTTTCCATGTCATTCCAATCAGTTACAATACCATGTTCTATAGGATATTTGATATATAGCAAACCTCGATGTTCTTCCGCTTTTGGTCCAATAAATGTATCTCCTTCTAAAGCACCAGCCATTACTCGAACATGCTTTGGTCGTCCAATACTAAGAAACAATAATTTATTTAAATATTTATACACATATTAATCTAATTTATGTAAAATTATAGTTCTAAGTAGTATACATACTAATTTGGAAAACAACATTTTGGCGTTTGTTCCCCAGCAAATCCAGCTTTAATGGCACCTGAGCCCTGCAAAAATGAAATTTATAAATACAAATTATTCAAAAATAGATAAAGTAAACTTATAAAGTTTAGATCAAGTCAATCTGTAAAAATCTGTATAGAAATTAAATACTTGATTAATCAATTTAGTAGATTTTTATATTTATAAAAATTATTAGTGATAAAAATTATTTATTAGTTTTATATAGGTACCTCTAAATGTTAAGTATGTACTATTTACAGAAAGATAAAAATAACTAAATATTCATTTTTTTCAAAGTAAAATTTTTAAAATAAGATTTTATATATCAAAATAGGATACATTTATTTAATATAAAAAAGCTTTAAGCATTTATTTACAGTTTAATATTCCTAAACTTGAAATTTTGAATAGGTTTGATTTATTTTATATTTTATATTGGAGATATACTTTTTAAAATATTAAAGCTCAATACGAGGTAAATTGTATATTTATCCAAGTTAATCGTTCAAGTTTCTGAAATGTTAAGAACATCTATTAATAATAAATGTAAATAAAATTCTAATTGAAATAATTCTTTAATGTAAAATGCATTGCTGAGGTTAATCATACAGTAAGTATTTCAACTTATATTTAATTAAATATATATATATATTTATACTGAGCAGTATTAAATTAACACTGATCAGTATAAAAAAAAAAGTACAACAGTTATAAGATAAAATAAATTATGAACTTTTTATTTAATATTTCATAAAAAAATAAATTATTATTGATAAATAAATGTAAAAAAGTAAGTTCATTCAAATTAAAATTTCTAAGATTTATAATTAATACATGAAATAATAAATGTATACAGATACTATTAGTATGCTAGGTTAATGGTTTACTCTATACAGTTTGCAAACTTACAAAATGCATTTAATCTTAATCGGTACATCAGAAAATGCTATGTAAATATTTCACACACCTAATATTATTTAAAATATTTTATATTTAGTTCTTCAGAAACAAAGTGTACATAATATACACATGGATGTTAAAATTCAGTCTTATTTCAATTATTTTCAAGTACAGTTTTATGTCTTATGGGTATACAATATACATGGTGATTTACCAAGCATGTCTTAAATAATACAATTATTCGAAATCTGGTTTTGGAATTTTAAAAAATTTTTAAAGACCATATTTCCAAATGTTTGAGATTATTGTACAACCTACTTAAAAAGAGTCCTGTAGACATAAAAACATCTTTTTAAACAACATTACTTTTCAAATGTAAATTATAAAGTGGAAAATTTTTCAATGGATGTGTGAATCAAAATCAAAATTTGAATGACTAGCTTTTTAGTTATTTAACTTTGTATACCAAGGATAAAAGGTCCATGATTCTGTGTTTGGAAGATACAGATCATTTATACTAATCTATCAATATTCATAATTTACCAAAATGATCCATTTATAATAAATACCACCTAGATCAAATATAACATTATATCTTTAAAAATTCTAAAAATCCGAATTTTAATAAATTCATTAGGTATTAAACCAAAAAATGGGATAAGTATGCTTGGTGATACCAAGTATTATACCTTGTATAATATGTTAATGTCACTAAGCCTAAACCAAATTGATGAATATTGAAATATCAATTTAGTATTAAATAATTTTCTATGGAAATACTAGTTTAAATAATATTTGGTTGACAAACTATAATATATTCTATAACCACTAATAAGTCACACAAAATTATCAAAGCTGAAATGTTCAAAAAACTTCAGTTCATTGCTGATGTAGTCAAAAGAGTAATACACGTTTCTTATTATTCGAAAAATAAGTAGGTAGAAGATAATTCATAAAATGGTCATGCCTTCATAGTTATATAAAATAGTATGCATAAATAATATAATGATGACGAGGACTTACGTTGTCTATGACAACAGGCTGATTAACAATAACGTCATAAGTTTCCATGATGAGCTGTTGTTGGTAACAAATAGTCAATTAACAATTTAAACTTAGAAATCTTTTTGGGATAAAATCGTAACAAATTACATAAAACTAATAAGTATAACTTTCTTTAAAAACGTTCAATATTATATTATTAATATAAAGTTGATAACATTACAATAAGCGTTAACATAACCTAAATGCCGTTACCAACTTAACCGGTACATTTTACTGATTAAAAAAAAAATTGATTATAGATATTTTTTTGTTTTTTTTTTTTATCATATAAATGATAATAATTATTATTATGTTTAAAATCTCTATGATGAGTGTAATCTCGGTATCTATCTCACACACAACTCACAATATTTCAATATTCCAAATTGTTCAATCGATATGTGAAATACGCACAATGAATTAACATTATTACTTACTGCAACTTTTGTTATAAAAGTTTAAACGATTTGTATGTTTAGATTTTCGGCTGTTGATTACAAGTTTTGAAACAAAATATGAGCATAAAATAAATCTAATTAAGTAAGTTATTTATCAAAGTCAATTGCATAAATAATTACACTAAATCATTTATTTTTGTGCCTTTATTTCATCAGAATGATGTTTGGTGAGCATTCTAAAATGCAGTTTATCGAACAAACAAGAGCTGCTCGAGTAGAAAGAGCTAATGATCGCAAACGTGAGCAATCTGCTATCCTTGTCCAATCTTTAGTTAGAGGATGGCTGGTTCGAAAACGCACTCGAAACTTAATACTGTCAGTTGTAGCATTTGCTCATTCTTATACATTAAAACACACTATTATTAATTATTTGACTTTTTATATGTTTGTAGGAATCAATTTGATGAAACGTTTGAGAACATCAATGAATTGAAACCCGCTATTACTGTTTATTTATCTGTTAAAAAATTTTTAACTTATTGGGACGAAAAGCGAGATAGACATAGATTTGAAAAACTCTGCAGGTTCGATGTATATTTAACTTATATTAGTTAACAATCATACAATTGTATTGATTTCTCTCATACACATTTTCGTATTTATTTCCTAAATTGTACACCCCACATAAAATTAATTATGTATATAATAGATATAAATCTTTGATCTCTTAATATATTTTGTATTTCTTTCAAGTTCTACCATTTAGTTACATGTTATAATATTGTATGTGGTTATTAACTAAGCTATAGTTTAATAAGTATTTTTTTAATTTTCTAGATATATAATTCTTAGTCTGGAATGTGATGCAATCAAACGTAGCTATATATCAGTAGCTTTAACTAGTGAGCATGCAGTGAACTGGATAAGTCATGTCAAAGAAATTCTGTCTATTTGCCTAATTTATCTTACCAAACTTCAGCCAAAATCATTAGATGATTCTTCTTTATTACACACTTTACTTCACATGATTGTATCTTTTACATCTACATCAAGATGGTGTGCCATACATTCAAATATTTCTTTACAAGGATTAAAACCTGGATTAGAGCGTTTAACAGAAAACTTGATTGCACACTTATTGAATAAAAATGTGTTTAACACTATGCAGGTATTCAAATGAAATATTTTTTAATTTATGAATTTATTACTAAATTAATTTTTTTCAGGCATTGCTAATAACTGGTTTATCAGGCATTAAAATATTATTAAAACCTGTGGCTTTGACAGCTATAATGACTATTTGCTGGAGATGTTTAGTTCTGAGCGACTTTTCAACAAATATTTTCCAACTATTTGTTATAAAGATTTATTCTATACCTTTATTAGTAGAGCATTTGATATCTCTTTCACCTAAAGTGAGTATTTTTGTATTTTATTTAATTTTTAATTTTAATGCTAATATAAATGATATTCTATAGTTTTAAAAGATCATAATCTTGTATTTAAAAATATATTTTAGATCATTGAAACATTTAATTCTGTTAATTTACTTGAGAAGGTAATGCAGTTATTAAATGATCAAATCCAATGTGATGAAATATTTCATTGCTTACATCCAAGTTGGTGTTTGTCATTAATTGCAAACATTGTGCATTTAGCTGAATTAAGTGCTGAAACAGATCAATTTGAAAATAATTCTACATCTGTTTTTATCGTAAGTTTCAAACATTACAATTTTACTAAACCATTTCTTATGTTTTTATAAATGTAATATATATTTTAGATGTATACATGTCTAATAAAAAAAATCATTGAAATAGCCAAGTAGGTTATATTTTAAATATTAATTTAATAATATGAAATAATACTTCTAAATATTTAAATAATTTTGTATTTAAAAATCTTAGTCAATTAATAAATTAACTGTTTAATATTAATTGTTAGTTGTTACCATATGAAAAACAAAAGTTAGCTTTAATTAATCGCATAAGTCATCGACGGGCAGATAAAAATAAATAATAAAATTGTAATATCAAAAAAAAAACCAACTGTTATAAAGTTATAACTAAGTAAGTGTATCAATTGATTTTTAAACTTACTTTTAAGTTAATCAACAAGTGTCTTTAATAAATTATTTAAATGTAAAGAGGATGTAACTTTGATCCAACACAGCAAATTTGCATTCATCAGAACTAATGTTATGTTGTTACAATTAATATCAGAATGGCCTATTATCAAATTTAATTTAATAACATTGTCTGTGTTTTTACGATGGTTTTTTTACCATGTTTTAATTTTAAATATTATAAATCACAAAATTATTTCATAATTTAATTGAATACATTCATGTGAAGTGTCAGCTATAGTTATATCTGTCGTCACTGTGATGGTAAAAATAAATTATAAACAAGAATTAATTACTACCATAAAAGATAATATCCATCAATTATTTTAAAATTAAGTTATTCGTATTAATGGAAATTCTTAAATAATAATTTTTGTTTGAACTTCACTTGGATACAATTAATTTGATTTTCTATCAAATAAGTTAAACACAAATTGTAATTTGTATTGATTGATTTGAAAAATATTTAAACTGTTAATAATTTTAGTTTTAGTATAAAAAAAATCTTTAAATTGTATAGTCCATACATTTTAATTTATACACCCCTTGTACAAATGAATATTTAAAATAAATAATCTGTAGGTGTTATGTAACTATTAAACATTGCGATTAATTGATTATTTTTTATTTTCAGGTTGGTTTAACAACATTTTTAGACACTATTAGAGTTAATGTGGTGAAAAAACATTCAAACGTATCTAGCGTTTGGCATCCTGAACTTGGGTGGTTTACAGCAAATTCAAATTGTCAATGTTCTCCTAATATACCACCTTTGAAAAATCAATTAATTCCATTGTGGTGTGGAACTTTATGTTCTAAGTTATTACGGTGTCATCTGATTAATGCTTTAGCGCAAATACCTGAAAATCAACAAGTACCATCACCTCCTCCTAAGACAAATAACCCAATAGCAATAATCAAGTAACTTTTTACTACTAGAATTACTACAGGCATTTCTCAAATAATTATTACTATTCTTAATAGAAAGGCATTTGATTTGAGACTATCCAGCACCAGTCAATCAAGTTATAAACTTACTGGAATTCATGGTACCAAGGTAGTTGCTGCTTGCAACTTATATTTTACATGCCTTAAAACAATCACACAGCTTAGACTAGATATAATAACTGGTAAACATACTGTTCAATAATTATTTGGAAATTGAAATTATTAACTATTTTTTATTTTAGGTTTATGTTATCATGAAGACACATTGTATTTATTGTGGAGGTTTTTGGCGTTTTTAGATTCTCACTGTGGTCTCAAGAACCTGTTGGATATTTTAGAATGTGATAAAAATTGCAATTCAGGAGAATTGCGCATGTTACAACTATTCTGTGATAGTATGTCACATTACATAACGTAAGAAAAATTTATGAGAGTAATAATTTATTCATAAAATTAAGAACATTAATATTTATTATTTATTTTAGTATTCTTGATGATATAGAAATGTATGAGCAACAAAAACCATTTGTGATGCGTGACTATATTTTAATGTCTAGTTTTTTGAACATATTTCTTTATAAAGGAATATCTCAGAATTTATTTAGTAAGAAACTAATATTATATTTACTTTTAACAAATGTGAAATTAATAAAAATGTATATGTTGTTTTGGTTAACTTAGATATTCAAGATACAGCTTCTTCTTCATATAGTTTGTTTCGATCTTGTCGCACGCTTTTAATGGTGCTTTATCGCAGGGATTGTCGTAGATCATTTGCACCTGTTGGACACTGGCTGATTGGTGATCTTAAAACTTCTTCATTTTTTAATGAACTTAAAAAGGGTCGTAAAATATACTCGGTATTGAATTATTAATTTTTAAATTTATTTAAATAACTATTAATAATAAATGTTGTATTTAGATTTTAATTCAGGAAATCCCTCATATAGTCTCTCATGAAACACGTGTTCGATTATTTAGAAAATATGTTTCTCGTGAAAAGTTTGCTTTGGGTGTACATGAATTGCATGATAACGACAATTTTATGCCACCAATCATTACTATACGGAGGTAAAATTAGTTTTATGAAATAACTTAAAAGTGTAATTGAAATTTTTTTACAAAAAATGTGTAGGAATCGAATAATTGAAGATGGTTATACATATGTCTCTGAATTATCATTGAAACGTTTCAAAGGTGTAATTAGAGTAAAATTCATAAATGAACAGGGATTAGATGAAGCAGGAATTGATCAAGATGGAGTATTTAAAGGTCTATTTTCAAAAACTTGAATGTTTTAGATACTAACAAATAATTATTTACAGAATTTCTTGAAGAAACTATAAAGAGAGTATTTGATCCATCGTTAAATTTATTTCGCACTACAGATGAACAAAGATTATATCCATCGCCTTCATCACATATTCAAGAAAACCATCTGAACTTATTTGAATTTGTTGGCCGCATTTTGGGTAAAGCAGTTTATGAGGTAACTATTTTATATAGTCCATTTTAATTATTTCATTTAATAAAGTGGAAATAAATATTATTAATAGGGTATTGTTGTTGAAGTTCCATTTGCATCATTCTTTTTAAGTCAATTATTAGGACAAACTCAAGAGTTACTTTATAGTTCAATGGATGAGTTACCTTCATTAGACAATGACTTATATCGGAATTTAACATCTGTCAAACAT